CTTTTCATTTAAATCGAAGTTTTAAGCATACACAGGGTGTTTTAAAAGAAACCAGTTTGTTGTCTAATTTTTGTCGCATCCTGTGAGACTTTCCATATGCACCAATAGATGCCTGTTCTAATCAAAACATATATGTTGGCTATAGCCATCCATCCTTTCTGAACATTTTGTTTTTTTATTCGAGTTTTTAGCTCAGTTCTTTAATGAAATACTGAATTTAATGTCAAATGCATTTATTTGAGATTATTCAAGAAAAAGTTTAATTTTCTCACAAACTGCTGAATCGATTTTGACATTTTTTTTTAAATTGCAGCTTAAATCTTCAGGAATGACTCAAAATTAACGCACCACTAAAATTTGGCACAAATTCAAAGTTAATTTTCTCACAAACTCTTAATCGATTTTGACATTTTCTTTTAATTGCAGCTTAAATCTTCAGGAATGACTCTGTAAAACAACTTTTCATTTAAATCGAAGTTTTAGGCATACACAGGGTGTTTTAAAAGAAACCATTTGTTGTCTAATTTTTGTCGCATCCTGTGAGACTTTACAAATGAAAATGAGTCATAATATATATTAAAAAATGATTTAAAAAAATATTATGTCCAATATTTGCGTAGGTAAGTTTTGCGATAACTGTTTAGCTTTACAAACGTTAATTTTCAAATTGCGCGCTCAACAGCGCCAAGTGGCGAGACAGTCTGTCTCAGACAGAGACACAAGAATTTGGAAGATGGCCGAATGAGAGTGGTACAAACATTAGCACCTTTTAATATTGTAATTTTACATATTTTAATTAGTTTATCAACTCTCAAGTGTGCATTGTATTGCACGAATTATGTGCAATAAAGTGATAAAAAAAATGTATTAATTAAAATGTGAACGCCAGTTTACCAACAAAGAAAACAACGCGGGTGAATAAAACATCACCCCTTTACATGGTCCTTCGAAAGCAGATGAAAGAAAAATCAACACCAATGGATATTCTGGACATCGGTTTAACAAAAATCGTAAAAAAACAGTAATTTACTCAAACAATCGAAAAGCCGGTAAGTCTCTCCATCCTTCTTTAATCCATTTAATTTCGTATCGCTCTGTCTCACTCGTCGTCTAGGCAGCGTGGTCCTGTTAATGTAGGTTAGTAATCTACCAGTAAAATATAAACAAATAAACCTATTTAAAAAATTGACTCATACCAGTTGATTTAAACACATTGCAATTGAGTTTAATAACAATTAATAAACAAAATATTTAAAACAAATTACACATATTTTAGTTAAAAACATCTCAAAGTTCAACAACTTAAACAAAAACGCAATTCTTTAAAATCACAATTAAACAGATTCGATCAATTTGTAGACACATTTGAGACAAATAAATTATTTATAGAATTGGAAACTTGATTACAAATAATTGATGAGACTTATTTGAAATTTATAGACATTAACGAGTTAGTCACCTTAATACCATCATCTGAACTTGATGATATCTAACTCAACCGAACTGTCAGAATTTGAAAATTCTTATTTTCGAATTATTTCAGCAGCAAAGGTGTTAATTAAACAAAATCAAAACACAATCGTAAGCAATACAAATCCATCAATTCAGTCTAATCAAGATTCTAATATTTCAAGCATAACAGATATAACACCTCAAGTTAAACTACCTACTAGAGATGTAAAAAAAAACCGGTTTTTTTAGATGTGAAAAAAACATGAAAAAAAACTAGAAAAAAACGGTTTTTTTTATAAATTATTAAACGTGATAATAAATGAATTTTTATAAAAATTCAGTCTTCAACATTTGCGTTGGATTTGCGTTGAAATTGCGTTCGTTTTGAGTCGATTTTGATGTTTTATTAATTGTCGGTAAAACAATAATATATTAGATTTTTTAAAGTTATTTTTGGTTTTAAATTAATTGCTTGAATCAAACACATATAAAAATAAATTATTAAACGTGATAATAAATGAATTTTTATAAAAATTCAGTCTTCAACATTTGCGTTGAATTTGCGTTCGTTTTGAGTCGATTTTGATTTTTTATTAATTGTCGGTAAAAAAATAATATATTAGATTTATTAAGTTATTTTAGGTTTTACATTAATTGCTTGAATCAAAAACATAAAAATAAATTATTAAACGTAATAATTAGGGATGGGATTTTAGTTATTTTACCTTTTTTTAACCGATGTAACTATTTGAAAACCAATAATGCCAAAATGTGTATTAAAAGATTTTCTTTTATATGAACCTAACTTGTTTTCACCTTTTTTACCTTTTTTGGAGGTTTTTGCCTTAAACTACCTTTTTTATACTTTTGTTACCTATTTTTTTTTAACTTGTTTTCACCTTTTTTTACCTTTTTTGGAGGTTTTTGCTTTAAACTACCTTTTTATACTTTTGTTACATATTTTTTAATTTGTCAGTTTATTTTCACCTATTTGTTACCTATTTTTACGTATTTTTACTTATTTTATTTTTTTGTGTTCTTTTTAAATTTTACGCCAATATTTTATCCAGGGCGTGCAACTCAACGTTATAGAATTTTTTCTTATGGTCACAGACTGTAACAGTAATTTTTTCTTATGGTCACAGACTGTAACAGTAACTTTTACAGTTACCTTCTTTGTTGCGAGCTTATGTTCTCTCATAGAACTGTGCAGTGAGTGTCACTCAGTGAAACACAGTTTATTGCATAGAAATAGTTTATTGTGTGGATTTTCTGTGTTTGAATATGCGGCTAAACAAAATTATAAACGAAACTTGAACTTTTAATGTTTTTTTTTACCTAAAATGTTTTTTTTTTTTTAACCTAAAATGCTTTTTTTAGTACCTTTTTAGTTACCTTTTTTTCAGTTTTTAGTACCTAAATATCCCATCTTTAGTAATAATAAATGAATTTTTATCAAACATTTGCGTTCGTTTTGAGTCGATTTCGATTTTTTATTAAAAGTCGGTAAAAAATTAACCTCTTATTTATTTATTTATTTATTTATTTATTTATTTATTTATTTATTTATTTATTTATTTATTTATTTATTTATTTATTTATTTATTTATTTATTTATTTATTTATTTATTTATTTATTTATTTATTTATTTATTTATTTATTTATTTATTTATTTATTTATTTATTTATTTATTTATTTATTTATTTATTTATTTATTTATTTATTTATTTATTTATTTATTTATTTATTTATTTATTTATTTATTTATTTATTTATTTATTTATAAATTAAATATAATATTTAGTTGTAAATAACCATTTAGAAGAAAATATATACTAATTTGTTTATATTTTGTTTTTCAGATATGCCTTTGGCAGTTCAACGCATAAGAGCTGGCTTCGCAATTTAAATAATTTATTTTTTGTTTACTATTATATTATTATATGTAGGAGGTATATGTAGTGTATATGTATTATAATAAATTATTTTTATACTTTAAACTAGACTTTTCATTAAAATCCCAGCTTAAAAAAACATAAACTGCGTCCCTGTAACGGTTGAGGGTGGTTAACCGTTTTGTAGCAAAGCTTCAATTAATCAATATAAATCAACCCTAAAATGTTAATATAGTTGATGGCAATAAGTTTAATTTGGGTTAAGAAATAACAAAATTTATCACAAATATTACGTTAAATGAATCGAAACTTAACGCAAACTTAACTTAAAGTAGACTCAAAGTTAACGGAAAACTGACCCAAATTAATCGCAAACCTATCTCAAAGTTGACGCAAATTCAACGCATACTTAACTTAAAGTAGACGCAAAACTTACCTATATTTAAAGCAAACCTAACTTAAAGTTGACGTAAATTCAACTCAAACTTAACGCAAATTCAACGGAAACTTGACTAAAATTCAACTAAAAATAAACTCAAACTTAACACAAAATCGTAAATCGGCACAAAACTGCAAATAATTACGTTGAATTTGCGTTAAGAAACGTTATTTTAACCCAAAATCAACGTTAATTTTGAGTTAATTATGGGTGATACTTGTGCGCAACTTAACGGTAATTTTGCGTTTAGTGAATTCGCCAGATAGATCTATCTGACAGTTAAGTTCTATACTGATCGTTGTAAGAATAATGGTATCCAGGGAAAGTATCTGCCATTTGAGACACCGGCCCTGAGTATATACAATTTTACTAAAGACTAAATAAATATAAGTTAAATCAATCTCCGGATCGTTTATAAATTTTTGCAAAAATAGATATACATTATTTACATGTAAAACTAAGGTAGTACCTTTTTACTGCAATAAAAAGGTACTAACTTAGTTTATTTGTTTCAAAGGCTAATCGGTAAGGGTGCTTACTTAGTTCCCGTCCTAAAAATGTTGTCACTTTAAGCAATTCTTTATTATGCGGCCCTAAATATGTAAAAAAATATAATATATATTTATGTTATGTAGGTCATTCCCACGAAAAATTAAATACCTTTTTTATTATACCCAAACTTGTATAGGCCCCCAAACAGCTTTAGACCAGAACCTCCAAACGGTCTGTCCTTGCCCCTAGGGGAGGTTACCGTTCCGACACATCTATTTTTAGAAATTTTGAGCACTGGTAATATGTATTACCAGTGCTCAAAATTTCTAAAAATAGATGTGTCGGAACGGTAACCTCATATGACTCATATGTCTTAACATTTTTTTTTTAAATTTGCAACCCACAGGTTTGCCCATGATTCAGTTTTTTCGAAAGTCTACTCTTTTAATATGTACTATAAAAAACAAAATATGTTCTCAAATTATATTTTATTTTTTGCAGTTTCGGAAAAAATTTGCTGATTATTTAATATATATTCAATAATTGATGAGTTTTGCCCAATCCAAAAAGGGGTGAACCTTTTTATTTTCGAATTTTATTTAATTTTTTAATTTAAATTATATTTTTAGGTTTTAAAAAATACATTTTTATTATAAGATAGTATATTAGTCCATTTACTTAATTTAATTTAAATATTTTAATATTTTTGGCAATACTTACTCATAATACATTCCCTCGTGAGGTACTCTATTAAATTCTGCACATTGCTGGGATCGAAAATCGTTATTATCAGGACAATCCTAAAAATATTTATGTAGATATAGTAAATCATAAAATTATTATATTGATAATTTTAATATTCTAATAAGAATAACATGATACTTTTGGTAATATTTTTTATTTTCGGTTAAGATCAATGTGGCTTTGAATGGTCAGACAAATGAGAGAGGTGTATTATTAATTATGTAGGTACATAAAAAAATAACAATGCTTTTATAGGGTATATATATATATATACATATATATATATTAAGGTGGCCCAAAAAAAAAGAATATTTTTTTTCTTCTCGTCTCTTGTGAAAATATGTTGGTTTGTCATGTTTTAAGAGCCCTGTCAAAATATCAGCTCGATTAAAAATTTTGTAGGGGTCGCTCAAGATTTTTAAAAATTTTCAAAATCGTCAAAAATTGAATTTTTGTTTTATTTTAATTCTTTTTCTCGTCTCGATATTATTTTTTAGGTTGAAAATAATAAAAATTCTGTAAATTTCAAATCAATATTTTGATTTCTAAAGGTCGCTAAAAGTTCGTTGATATTTATATTCAGAGGTCGCTCGAAAACATTCAAAATACCTACTCTACTTTGAAAGTTAAAAAAATCTTGAGCGACCTTTAGAAATTAAAATATCGATTTGAAATTTTCAGAATCATTATTATTTTTAAATTAAAAAATAATATCGGAACGAGAAAAAAAAAATAAAAAAAAATCCAATTTTTGACGATTTTGGTAATTTTTAAAAATCTTGAGCGACCCCTAAAAAATTTTTAATGGTGCTGATCTTTTGACAGGGCTCTTAAAACATGACAAACCAAGATATTTTCACAAGAGACGAGAAGAAAAAAAATATTCTTTTTTTTTGGGCCACCCTAATATATATATATATATATATCATATATAGAAAATGAAAATAGTGTCGATGGAGAGGAGGAAGGACGTTTTAATTTAAAGTGTTGTTAAGAATAACATTTTCTTTATGCTAATAAACTCTAAACTTCCGAAAGTAAAGTAAAAGGTTCACTGGTAAACCATTGAAATTTTAGGTTTTTTACACCATGGTAATGCATTAATATTTACTGATTCAATCAGTGAAATTCAGATTTTATTGTACATTGTACAACCTGTGGGATCCAAAGAAAAATCAGTGAAATTCCACTGATTCAATTTAAAAGAGCATATAATTTTTAAATCAAAATCCACTAAAATTAAAGCAATTTTCAAAAACAGCCAAATCCGACAAGTTTCTTAAGTTTTCTAAAACACCATTAAAGTGGAATTTTTTCACATGAGTTTTTTTGTTTAATATGCTACTGCCTTTTAATTTTTATGTTCAAAATTCGAGTAACCTTATTTCATGACCAGCAGCAAACTTTCGCGTTTCCTCAATAAAATGTTAAGGTTGATTTAGAGGTGTTTTGACTTTAATGAAAGGTATGTTTTTAATTTGCTTCATATTATTTTATTTCCACCTTTTAGGTTGTGTTCCGTAATTTAATAATAGGCTTTATTTCAGAAGACATATACATGTGTAGAAAACGTAATTTACTGCCATAACTATCAGTAATTTTACTGTCAGTAGCGAAAAAAGACCGTTCCGTAATTTATTCCGTACTGACGCAATAGTAAAATTGGAACGCGCCTCAGTAGCAGCAGAAAGTGACAATGGTTAAGCAAGGTTATGATTTGTAATTTACTGACATTTGACAAACTTTACTCTCGGCACAGCAGAGAACATAAATCTATATAAATAAAAATGAATGTTTGTATGTTTGTCCTCTATGCGTTCCAAAACCATTGATCAGATTGTAATGAAACTTTAGTTGGGTCTTCTGAGGATGCCAACGAGGGTTTCTGGCCCAAAAAATCTAAGGTTCGTTTACTTTGAACATAGAAACAATTAAAAAGTAATTTCAACAATCGAAGTAATTTGACATTATTTAGTCATATTTTTGAAGTTTTGGGCGTAATGCCAAAAATAAAACAGACAAAAGGAATGGGAAAGCATTGTCATTACTGTGGTCAATGGTGCAAGGGACAAATGACAAATGACAGGTGACAGATGATAGGTGACGGATGACAGATGCCAGGTGACAGATGACAGTCTACAGATGACAGGTGACAGATGACATGTGACAAATAAAAGGTGACAGATGACATGTGGCAGATGACAGATGACAGATAAAAGTGACAGGTGCCATATGACAGGTGGAAGATGAGAAATGGCAGATGACAGATGACAGATATAAAGTTGACCGATGACAAATAGCTGATGGCAAATGTCGTGTGATAGAAAAAAGGTGACAGATGAAAATTGACAGATGACACAACACAGGTGACAGATGACAGGTGACAGACGAAAGGTGACAGGTGAAAGGTGACAAATGACAGGTGACAGATGACAAATGACAGGTGACAGATGACAAATGACAGGTGAGATGACAGTTGACAGATGACAGGTGACAAATAACAATTGACAGATGACATGTAAGAAATTTTCTTTAAAATAACTACCCAGTTTCATTATAATATGCATATTTTAATGTGTGCTTTGATACTGTAATTAATCAAGACGAAGTAGTAAATTATCCGACTATTATTCACTTGATTTGCCAGGCATGCCACCGCACGGCTTGATATTAAAAATTGGCGTGCCTATTATTCTACTCCGAAATATCAATCCACCACGACTTTGCAATAGAACCAGACTTTCAGTGAAAAAGATGATGAACAATATCATCGAAGCTACAATTTTAATCGGTAAATTTAAAGATGAAGATGTACTGTTGCCACGCATACCAATGATTCCAACAGATATGCCATTCTAGTTTAAACGCTTGCAGTTTCCAGTGCGACTTGCATTTGAAATGACGATCAACAAAGCACAGGGACAATCACTTCAAGTGTGTGGATTAAATTTGGAAAATCCATGCTTCTCACATGGACAACTGTATGTGGCTTGCTCACGCGTCGGGAAACCGTCTGACTTATTCGTGTACGCACCAGACGGAAAAACCAAAAATATTGTGTATCAAAAAGCACTTCAATAAACAGAATATACAACCAAACACTTTTTTACTTTATGTGGCATTGCAACGCATGCCGGGTATAGCTAGTAAGAAATAAATATAACAGTTATAAGAAATATAATTTTTGGTTTATGCCAGAGAAATATGGAAAATAAAATGTTATCGTCGTCCCCGTCGAAAAATGTATATAGGAATAGGAAATATAAAAGTTTACTGACACCACAACAATACGCCAAATACAAAAAATTACTCTTAAATTCGTATGCATAAAATGCTAAATACAAATGTATAACATTTTCTAGGTACTACCTAGTAGGTTGTTTAATATTCTGGGTCTTCGTATGCGTACTCCCTGGGGACCTGCCTGCCATCCTCCTTTAATTATTAATTCGTGTCCTTTATCACTGCTGCTTGTACTTTCAAGTAATATTTTATAAATAAATATTGAAATAATTAGTCCTAGGTATTCACCAAATACCATTATATCCTTCACTTTATTTGACAGATATTTTTTATGTTTAAAAGCTTGGTTATGTGTTTTACTGGAGCCACAGCACCTCTCTGTCACCAGTTGTTTCAGTAAAATTAATCTGCCGTACATTTATAAAAGGGTAGTATTTACCACTGAGCTCTGTAACTGAAAGTGGATTTCGGAATGCGTTTTCAGTACTGACAGTACTGACAGTAAATTACGGAACACAACCTTAGTAAATGACATTTTATAGGTTAATTTTGTTGTTTTTGTATTCAAGTAAACAATATATTATGGGAACAGACCTGTAATATTTTACGGGTATAAAAGACCTGTAAAGTTTTACAGGCTTGTAGAAAAGCAATTTATTTAATTTTTGACACATTAATTAAAATTTTTAATTTGAAAATCGTTAGAAAATAAAAGTTTGTACGTATCACTCTTTGCAATTAATCTTTACTACCCTGATAGCACAGTTTATTCTAAGAATGTTTTTTAAACCTTCCAGTGGGAATATTCTTAGGATCATGCTATATTTCTTCTAGTCATGTTCTAAGAATGTTTTTTAAACCTTCCAGTGAGAATATTCTTAGGATCATGCTATATTTCTTCTAGTCATGTTCTAAGAATGTTTTTTAAACCTTCCAGTAAGAATATTCTTAGAATCATGCTATATTTCTTCTAAAGAACATGCTTAAAAGAAATATAGCATAATCCTAAGAATATTCTCTGGCCTATAGGCAGGTTCTTAGAAGCTGCAAAGTTTAGTGGTAAAAATAGAAATAGAAAGTAATTGCTATAGAAAGTTCATTTAGGAATATTCCTGGAACATTCTGTTAAGCATATTTAGTTCAGTTAGGTACCTATATAATAGTAAAATATACCATATTCTACGTATAAAGGTAGTAGTAGTAGTATTAAATACTAAGTAAAAAAAGTAGATTATGTCATAAGGAGTAGAAGTGACTCTTTTTGTGGTGAGTACAGAGATTGACGGCCGAAGCGTAGCTGAGGCTGGCAACTGTACGAAGCACAAAAAGAGCTTCTACTCCAAATAACATATAAAAATTTTTTTTCAAGGGCGTAATATAAATAGGATAAGAAATAGAATTATTTTATCTACTCATAACTCATGTGGTATAAAATTTTGGCTAAAAGCATTAGAAATTATTGATAAAAACTAAAAAAACTTATAACCCTTACTTACAATGCCGATAAATATCCTAAACCATAGATAACAAAGCCTAAACTAAAAATAAACACTGCTCTGTCAAAATGCTGCGCTTGAATTAATTTTGACGTACTGACATTTGTTTGGAGTTCCGACATTGGCGACTCGTCTATCATCATAATATTATACTAATAAACTAGTTGTTCTTTATTTCGTTCAATTAAAATTTAATAAATAATCCCTAAATATTCCTTGCGATTATAATTAATATAATTAATACATCGTGATTGCTTTGTATGATATGCTAAATTAATTTTATTATTTGACGTCTATTGGGACACCTATGGATTTACTTCTATCCCTAGGCTTTTTTGAGTTTTTTGTCTGCCGCTAATGAAAAAGACGCAAAATTAATTCAAGCGCAGCATTTTGACAGAGCAGTGTTTAGTTTTAGTTTCGGATATTTATCGGCATTGTAAGTAAGGTTTATTAGTTTTTTTAGTTTTTATCAATAATTTCTAATGCTTTTAGCCAAAATTTTATCCCACACAAGTTATAATAGAAATAATTCTATTGCTTATCCTATTTATATTATGCCCCTGAAAAAAAAATTGTATATGTTATTTGGAGTAGAAGCTCTTTTTGTGCTTCGTACTGTTGCCTGCCTCAGCTACGCTTCGGCCGTCAATCTATGTACTCACCACAAAAAGAGTCACTTCTACTCCTTATAACATAATCTACTATTGTCAAATTAAAACAATATTCGATAACAAAAATACTTTTACTAGGTATGAAGAACTATTGGTTTTTTCTTTTATGAAGAATTATTTTATAAGGAAATATTTTGTTTTTTTATATTTTATTTTATATTAAAAATAAATATTTATTAATTTGTATACCGATTTTTTATTTCTGAATTAACATTTTTATGTATAATAATCCCACAAAATTTTCCAATTTTACTTTTTAATGTCATAGAACTTATGGTTTAGAGGTCAAATTGTTTATTTAATATTTTTAAATAAATATATATTAATATGTCGCAAATTTTTTTAAAGGGACGACAAATACATTTCACTGTCATATTATGACAGTGAGGCGTATTTGTCGCCTCCTGAAGAATTTTACGAATGTAGAATCCAACATATTAGAACGTGGGTATCTGACATATTTGAAAATATTCTCAAAAGCTTCCGAGAAGCTCCATAAGAAACCTTCTAAGAACATTCCAAAAACGTATTCTTAAAATGTTCTTAGAATGCTTTTTAGGAAGGTTTTAAGAAGCTTCTAAGAATCTAATTGCATCATTAAAAGGGTATCTATTGAATGTTTTAAAAGTCCCTAAGAACATTCTTAGCAATAAGGGAAGGTTCTAAGAATATTCCATTATTCCGGGTCATGTCTTCTTAGAAGATTCTTAGAATCAAATTTTGCTATCACTGGACAAACTTTCAGGTCGCCCATAAAGATTCATTTACAAAGCTTGACACGTAAATAACTATTAATGCGTTTATTGTAAATAATAATTGCTGTAAATGTAAAAGTTTCTTTAATATATCGTATAATATATTATATCCTTTAATATATCAATATACCGAAAGAAAATAAATATATAAAATTAAAGTTAAAAATATCAGGTTTTAGTATTAACAAAATAAACTATATATTATGCAGTACCTGGGTATTACAGGAAAAATGCCTGGTAGTTGGTCCTTGACACCGTTGTGCCAAACATTGTCGATGTTGTGTTGAAACACCTCCTCCACAAGTTCTTGAACAAGAACTTGCTGAAGACCAATCTGACCAAGGACCAATATCGGGTCCATCTCCTCCATCTGTAACGTAGGTTCCAGGTAAATACAAATGTGCTCCTTGCTGTCGTTTAAATCTATCTTTGTAATGCCTAATTTTCTGGAAAAAAAAATCCTTTGTTTAAACAAAAAATATTGGGTTTCGATATAAATAATTTAGGGATCCTAGCAAAAAGAAACAATCTTTAGTAAAGCAGTTTGCAAGTCAATAAGGCAAACGTTTATTAAATAAGTTGTTTTGAAAAATTAAAAATGACTGGTTATGAGAGGACAACAAATATTATACCAAAGATTTAAGTAGAAAGAATTTTTTATCTTTGATTATACGCAGCAGCAGACTGAGTACTGTCTATACCATGGATTGTCTCTGTTGATGATGACATAATATATGAGGAGCTACACTGCAAATCGCAGTTTTTGATAAATCTATTATTTTCAGGATAAAGACATCTTTGCTACATTAAATTAAAAAAATTCGAGCCCCTTTAATTCGAAAAATATCACAATTTGTTTCGAGCAATGTAGTTAAGCACCTAACTGCACCTATTCCTGAAAACGCAAAAACTGTGTTTTGGAGAGTAGCTCCTTATATATGGCCAATTAAAGAGACAAAACTATAGTTATATTTTGATAACTAAACAGACAAAACTATAGTTTTATATATACCGGGTGATCTATAACTAGTATAACAAACTCCGAGAGTAAAAATAAGGCGAAAAGTCCTAATCAACTTATATCCAAAAATACCAGGTTAGCGAGATAAAAGGTAAAATAATTAAAAGCTTATTTCAATTAATAGGAACACAAATTTATTTCAAAAATCGACAAGTTAAATAAATATTTTTTACGGTAGTGATTAGAAGAAAACGGTTAAAGTATAAGTTAAACTTTAGTTAAGATTATATTTAACACTTACATTAATCAAAAAACTAAAGTCTATTCAAATCCAAGCTGGACTAAAGAAAAACGCCCAGACGCGTGATAACTCGTTTCTATTGGTCGATTCTGATGGTGTGACTCGGATTGTGAGCTCTTATTTGTCGATTTGGAGGATTGTGTTTACATTTAGTCCAGCTTGGATTTGAATACATTTTAAAGAAAACTTTTTCGTAGATTAGTTAGTTTCCAACAAAAATATGTAGGTACTACTGCAAGTATAAAATAAAAAAAAATATTTTTTTTTAAATTTTGACCTACGATTCTTGTGAATGGCTAGGTTAACAAAAAAACATTGGGTAACTTTTTTGTAGAGCACTCAATTCCATATTAAAATGTTTATTGTGCTTATAGTCCAGGAAATAAAGATTGTAGAAGGAAAACTAGATGGTAGTCGGGTTTTATTTTTTTTATGCACAGCGTCCCCTAATTTCATCCCCCGAAAGGGTAGTTTTTTTGCTTTTTGGCTCATAACTCGCTAACTGCGCATTTTTTCACAATTTTACCTATAAAACTTTTAATTTTGTACTAATTAAGGCACACGTTAAACCCCATTGCGCGCCTATATGATGTGCCCTTTTGCTATGCGCAGTGTGCAAAGTTGACCGTTGCTTTCAAAATCACTTTTTTGTTTGTTTTTATTATAGCCCAATTTTAAAAGTAATCGATCCCAAACCTTACGGTAATCAAACATAACCGAATAGACGATTTTTTGAGGTACTAGACTTTTTTCAAAAGTTAATAATAAACTACCTGTATTGTTAAGGAACAAGAACGTTAATCAGAGGGCCATGCACCGATTTGACCCCACTGGATTATTTTTTCAGGGTTGCATGAAATAAATAGTTTACCACGAGGTAGACACTGTGCAGGAATTAAGGAATGTGATTGCGGTTGGCGATCAAATCAGGAAGAATTTTAAATGATTCGGAAAGCTACCAGCCACCTAGTGAAAAGATCAAGAAAATACGATGGCCCATTTCATTTATTTCTAGTATTAGGGAGTCTGCATTTGTCTCTATTAATGATTAATTTTAGTTTATAATATGGATCTTCTTTCGGTAGCCCTTATTTTGATAGTACGTTAATAAAAATGTCCAAAAGTCCCGTAGATGTGATTTTTTTGATAGGATTTACCAGATATACTGTTTTTGTTTATTAAAGATGAATTAGGACCCATAGCTTTAATACCAATACTACCCGGTTAAAAGTATTTAATTAAAAGTATTTAATTAAAAATATAAATACGAATTATAATAATTGCATAAAAAATATAGAAGCTGATTGGACAATGATATTTATTTGTGGATTCAGTTTGCCTAAATGACAGTGGATTCAGATTGCCTAAATGACGCCCAGTGTTATTGGGGGTTCATAAAAGTAGCTCATTTAATTATGATATAATTATAATTAAAAAAGAACAATTGAGGAGCGTTTATTCAAAAAGGGACATGTCCATTTTAGTGATTTGCAGAAATAAGTCAAAAGCAAAAGAATTCTGTTATTTTTGACTTGTTTCTGCATATCGCTAAAATGGACATGTCCCTTTTTGAATAAACGCTCCTCAATTGTCTGCAGTGTAAAAAATCGACATTTGTGTGCAGTGCAGAAATTCGAGGATCCATAGAGTTTTTCATAGTTTGGACCAATTTTTAAGTTTGTAATTACCCACCCTTGAGAAATCTAGGTGGGTAGTAGTACGCCGGCCTTGCTTTTAATATACTTACCATTGGTAAGTTACCAACAAATTATGCAAGTCATATAACCTATATAGGTGGGGATTTCTTGAAATTTGCAAATTTCTACAAAAAATTATTCCGTGGAAAGTAATTAACCTATCAGAGCACAGCATTATCCACCTCACATATAATGCCGTAATTACTTTCCATAGAAAACAGTTATAGTATATTATGTATCAAGTTTGATAAACGCCATTTTATACACGAATTTAATTTAGGCACGAGCGAGCTTGCGAGCGAGTGCTTTAATTAATGAGTGTATAGAAAAGTTTATAAACGAGGTGCAAACTATACTTTTTCTACGACAAATACTTATTATCTTAAAATGATTTAAATCAAATATTTGTATAGAGCGCCATCTATGAATCAATAGGGGAATCTGTGTGTCACCGTCAAATGTAAAATTTTAAATTTTATAAACACAGATTATAAAGGTTACAAATCGAAATGTATTCCTTGAAAATGGACAGTTTTTTACAATGAAAGTAAAGAAAATGTTTTATGAGCACTTTACAGTGGAGTCCGTGCCCAAATTTAAGTTTACCGCCGGCGAAATTAAAAGGTCGAACAATGTTCATATAAACTTTTCAAATATTGGCGTTGAGAAACTATTTAATACTTTTGTATTTTTGTATTGAGATAAGAAAATAATTTTCACATTTAGTATTATTTTGCAAAAAAGGCATTTTAACGATTGTATGACTGACATTTTAACGATTGTATGACTTTTACAACTGCTAACTAACTTAAAACTAACTAAGCCCGTGAGTAAAAACATGCTTCTAACTTCAGCCCGTAACTAAAACGCCATAAAGCCACAACTTGTCAATGTGTATTTAAAAGGTCACTTAGTGACATGGAAACATGTACGTTTTAAAGGTGGGAATAGAAAAAATTAATAAAGAAGCAAATTTAAAAAAAAACAAAAAAACATAATAATATTACAGGGGCCGTTTAAGTTCAAATTTTCAAAAAAAATCAATAATTATTAATTTTTCAATTAAAATTATAATTATCTTTAGAATATAGGTTATTATTTATATTTTAAAATTGTAAGTTTTATGCCAAACTTTTATTTTTAATTTAATTAATTTAAAACATCAGTTTCTTATATTTGTATTTGTTAAGTTGGTAGTAAATTTGTATTGTGAATATCAAGAGTGTAATGTAAAAGTTTTATGTATGTTGTATTAATTCTGTTCTGCTAATATATATTTACTATTTATGTAATGGTTTATTTATCTTCACACGATCCCGTCATTAATTCACATGGTAGCAGGTCTGTGCTTAAGTGAAGAGTGAAGAGTAAGCAAGGTTTCGTTAAAGCAAGGTGATTGCTCTCGAATCAAAAAAGAAGATTCGAAAAAAAAGCGACAGTTGACGCAAGTAGTTGTCAAACATTTTTAAAATAAAAAATGCTTGAGGAAATAAAAATTCCAATTTTTAATGGAAGGGATTATGATTGCTGGAAGAAAAGAATCACAATGATTCTAAAAATGAAGAAGTGTGTAGAAGTTGTAACTAGAGAAAAAACAACAGTAGATCAAGAAGATGAATGGAATGAAAAAGATTTGAAAGCTATTAATGTAATAAATAGTGGAATTTCAAATGATCAGTTACAATTTATTAAACACAAAGAAACGGCCTATGGGATATTAAAAAAGTTTGATGAAATGTTTTTAAAAGAATCTACTGCACTTCAAATCTGTGTAAGAAATAAATTAGAGAGACTAAGGTTAAAAGATTTTGAAGATACTGCTACATTTTTTACTGAATTTGAAAAATTAGTAAATGAGTTAAAAAGTGCTGGTGCTACAGTATCTGAAAAAGAAAAGTTAAGTTACATGATTAAGATGCTTCCAAGTTGTTTGAGCTATGGAGACTTAGTCGATGTTTTAAAAGAAGAAGACCAGACTGTTGAGTACGTAAAAAGTAAAATTAAAATGGTTGAACTAAAAGAAAAAGAGGAAAGTGGTAAAAGCAACACAAGTGTTTTCAAGACAGAAAGAAAACAAGAACAAACTTGTTTCAAATGTGGCAAGTATGGACATTTCAAAGCCCAGTGTACAAGCATGAATCCAGGTGGCAATTCTTGGAAACCCAGGGGCAGCATGCAGCAGCGAGGAGGCGGTCGTCAACAAAATTGGCACTACCGTGGTAACAGTAGCAATAGAGGTAGCCAACACTCAAGTCAACATCGTCGAGGTGGCGGTTGGCAGCAGAATCATCATGGTCAACGAAATAAAGAAGGCAATACAAGCAGTTTTAGTACGGAAATCGAGGTTAAATCAAAATTGCATAATACAATAGTAAATAGTTGTGTAGGTAAAGTAGAATGGTTATTAGATAGTGGATGTTCCGATCATATTGTTAATAATGAGGAATATTTCTATGAATCAATTGTTATTCAAACACCCATAAATGT